AGAGTTCTCTCTAGCCAAGTGGTATATTGCGGCTAGTAGTTTACCAGGGTTATATTAATATATACGAGTTTACCAAACACTCAACGCACACATACTGTCGATATGTAAACCACCCTGGATCAGCCATAACTGTAGATCTATGGGGTACCGTCGGTCCTTTTCGTAAAGGTGAAAAATATTTTCTCGTTTACGGCAAGTGCCAATATTTCCTGATTGATAAATACTCTAAGAGGAGAGATCATCGGTGTTAGCATGTCAGGTCTGTCCATATACTACGATATATTTATCAAACATGTACAGACCAGCTGTTTTATACTCCAAAGTTCAGTCAGAATTTTATGAATAGAACCTTGTATTTTTTGCTCAGGTAGACGTTTCTTAATCGGTATGATCGGCGGATCCGGTGTCACCGCCAAACATGTAAAGACAAAGGGCCAGGCAATCATCAGAACTGGCGACGATCTTATCACCAAAAGACAAAACGAAGTCAGTTCGACCAGATCATATGCTTCAAAACCACATCACCCCCTCAGAGAACACTCAGGCACTCTCGGTCACGGGCCAGTCATCAACAAAACCCGAGACGCACCCGGACAAAGAGATCCGGAAACGCTCCTCTTCTCGCGAGACGGTTTATTACACAATGTGGTGAATAGTGTATTGTGTCCTGAACGGATCACTTACAAAAGTACTTGTTTGTTTTTGACTTATAGATACAATTGTACAGAATGAACATTTTCAACACAACAGTTTACATCTTCGTTTTCAGCGTCATAAATCAGCACGCATAACTAGACATGCTAATCGGCTTCAAAATGGATGTGTTTTGTTATTAGTATCGAAGACATCGCATTCTGCTTATATGAAACACCGAGATCCCGTCAAGGACTCACACATCACAACTTATGTTAGTCGTGTAAATGAAAGATGTTTAACTTGTAAACCATAGTTTTAATACAGGTGTGTCGCCATATCAAACTATCAAATGTCAAAAACATGTCCAAGTCAGTTTCAAAGCAGAGTGCTTTTGAAAAAATGTAATTATAATATTTTGGTTGCATCATACCATATCCCGGTCTACTGACCTATCCCATAAAACACACTAGGGAGTTTGTTGAAACAAGACCAACCCGAAATAGCTCGAGAAACCGCAGTCTATAAATGCTCCCACGATACACTCGGAGAAATGAGTGGGTGTCATCGTCTTTTAACAGGTAATAAGCAACGACTGGTTAGCATATAATACAGCTACTTCCGTTTACATTTTCCAACCGTTGAAATCATCATCATCACGGTACGTGAACGCCTAATGTGATGTTATATTTCGAATAATAGAAATATTAGAATAAACAAATTTGACAAACGCCTAGCGCCAATTCTTTCCAGTAGCTTGGATCATTGTTTCTTTAATTACTGTATCCGCATATGTTTTAGCATAAAGCTAGACTTAAACATTTTATCTGTTTTAGTCGTAATACATAGATATTATGTAAGACAACCGATACAAAATGTATACCTATAATAGATTTATCAATTTCATCTGGCTTGAGTTTTATTCGTGTTATCAAAAATCTACCGAGTTGGATTCCAAATATGTATGTTAAAACACAGAATGAATCCACCATATCTTCTCTATAGCTTACTGGTGGACGTCAACACCTCCACTGGGTTTCTAGCAAAAACAAACCTTATCTCTCACCACGAGGTTCCTTGCTCCCCCTCCCTATCCTCTACTTAAAAAAGACCTACTCGTCGTGGGAAAAAATCCTGAAGGAATGCTGTTACGGGTATCAAATTCGGTCACACATGTTTACACGTAATTCACATGCTCATTACTATGAACTGATTTTACTGACGCATATCACGTCACATGGTTACGCGAAAACGTGAAACTCAATAGACGACTATAGAAACCGATAGTGTTGATAGCCGTCCTTTTCTATGGTTATGATAAATGCAAGCCTTTGTGGTCAATGTCACGGTGCTCTCAAGTCAATTTCCGACGGCGATTATGCCAAGTCAAATTCGTTTATTTCCGTGCATACTCGGGATTTTCCGTTGTAACCGTCTGGCAATAGTCTGCCAGTCGATGACGTATGTCGTCTCGGTTGAGAGCAATGCTAAGAAGAAAATGTGTTTGGTGAACATGAGAGAAACCATACACATTTATAAATTCTGTGCCAAAAAGAACCACTAATACAAATTATGGACATTCAAATCTATTTCATATGGTGACCTACTTTTTAACCCTATGGTTTGTTCCGCACCATGTGCAATATCGGAGAAACTGCTGTTGAACGATATGTATGCTGCTTATTTAGCAAATAAATGTCACTAAAGCGAAACGAAACTGCGTAGTTGATGTTTTAGAATCCAGAAGTACAAGTAATGCTAGTTATTCGATTAGTTGGTTCGTTGTGTTCGTTGTTGAAGTTAAATCACCGTCTTTAAGAGCACCGAAGTGAAATAGGACATTACACCATGTAGTCACGTGAAGTTTTTGTTTTTAAATATATAATCTCACAAATCGTACACACGATTAACTCAAGATTTAGATCTCCAACGCTCTAACGGTATTGCAACCCGTCCAAATGAAACAATGTTCATAGTTTAATGCACAGAAACATTGTGAATTATACATAACGGTTCAAACGAAATTCACCATCAAATTCTATAGCATAAATATTTAAATGTTTGCATCAAATCATCTGTATCAAACCCCTAAAATTTCTAATTTTGTTAGAGGTGTTTCGATGTATAGTGTTGATCACATTCCTAATATTGATGTATTTTAGTGATATGTTTTCACTAGGAAGCTTGCTAATGTAAACACGTTGCTGATAGAGAGGCAAGTCTGTGCATATCTGAAGGATGGCCACCCAGGTTAAGATTACTGTAGTGGATAAAATATCAACATTTTCTGGACCACTGACGAATTGCATAGACAAAGCAAATCAGAGTTTTCGTATATGTGAAGTGACAAATTAAACCATATTGTCAAAACTGACGTTTTCCGTTTGGTTAGGAACCTCGTGGACATAGTCGAAGTAAACATATCTACCAATCTTATCAGGGGGAGTGGAAGGGATACTCTGATACGGTGTGACGTAAATTTGAAATAAACACGAAATGTGCCATTTCCGGTTATTATCGCCGAAACCAAATAAAAGAAACCACACCAAGCCTGTGTTGTAGTCTACGTTTTCTTGAATGGAGGCTGGTGTTGCGAATAAAAATCCAATCATTTTCAGTTATCACATTGAAATACTATAAATGAGGTATTTATTATAATACGTTAGAATGTCTGTGTATATTCCTTATCGAGAGAAAAGACCCCAAACCATGACCTGTTTACTTCGTCATTAGTTCGGGGCTTTTCAAATACAATTTATATTCCAGGCACTTTATTGATTATTTCATTTATCAGCATCAAACCCAGTACTCGTCTACCGTTTGACACAAGACTACTGAAAAGACTTTCTGTGACCGGAAACTGAATATGAGATTATCGAGAAAATTTTAACGAAGTTGAAACATGCCAATTTGCGCTTGCTAATATTGAGTGATATGGTTATGACGTCACTAAAAGTCGCGGACACGCGCAATTCTCAGTCTTGATGTACTCACATGTTGTCTAAAATGCAAATACTATCAGAACGCATATGATGAGCACGTGTTGCACGTTCTAACGATAACGGGACTTGCTTGCAGCTGGGCACTTGAGAAAACATCTTGAATATCAGGTTTGTCACATGTAAACAACTTACGCTAGAAATAGTAACAATTTTATCATCAAAACTCTAGAGAGCGTAGCAAAAACACTGGAAAGTAATCAACGCTTGACAGCCTACATCGTGAAACAACATGAACAAACTTCTGGTTCACTTGCCGTGGTTTCGTATTTCGCTGAAATATTGCGTCTTCATGTATCTATAGTTAAACCGCAAAGATGTTACGCTCTATAACCAGCACATCTCGTGATTCGTGGTCTTAAATCAAGCTTTTATCCGACGACCAATGTAATGACAACAACGAAAACGGTTGTATTGTTTGGAATATCCCCACGGAGTAATCATATAGCGTTCATTTATTGTAATTTTTCACGCAAGGTTTACAGATTGTGTTTGTGCTGACGATACCTTAAGCAGTGCGTCGGTAAAATATATCTTTATTTAAGAAACACCAATGTACTATATACAAAACAGAATAGACAAGAACGTGTCGGTCTCCTGAACACCTCCCCTACCAGCCCGCTAAATTTTCCACCTCGATACCCATTTCCACTCCAACCGCGCGGAGAGCTCTAATTATAAGCACGCAACACTAACGAGCAATACTTTATGTTACGAAATTTACTGAAACGAGAAATAACGAGCACTTGGTTACGAAAAGCCTTGTCATGACTTCACATCTGCCCATAGTGTGCATAGCAAGCATTGAAGCAAAATAAAAATATCGTGCTACAATTTGGTGTTAAAATTGTTGTCGGTGTATTGCAATTGTCACAAATCGATATGAATCGTTTCGAGTAATGCTTGGAAGCCATTTCTCTAAATGCCGTATTCGGGACGCCCTAATATAGAAGCAGGACTTCGGACCAATTCATATCAATAACTGCGCCATTAACAAAATCGTATTTGCTTCTGTAATAATAATTACACCACACACGTTCCTCGAAATCTAATTGAACCCGCATATTGTAAACCACATGTATCTTCTCGATGAATTCATGAAACATGCATGGACAAGGAAGTTTCGTTCTCTTCCCGTTTTTGTTCAATCATTCACCGCCTACGCGTGGCCTTTTGATCCTGCGGTCTTTACAGAATCAGCATTCTGATTACAATTCCATCCCAAATCTCTGTAACTTCCGGTTTATCGCTATGTACGATATGAACCTTCAAATGAACCAAACAGTGTCTCTGACACAACAGGAAGGTGAGTACAGATGTATGCTTATGGATAATTTACTAAATATATAAAATGTCACATGTACTTACCGGAAGTGTCCCATATTGACATTTGTATTTTGTAGGTGTCGGACACGTGGTACGTTGCTGTGTAGGTATCGAAACCTGTAGGTGTGTATGTCTGAAATAAACAAACAAACATATAATCATCGTTACAGAAATGTGTTGTTTCAACAAGTTAATGGTATAAATTGTATCGCCCGTCCCTTATTGTTGGTTTTATATCATACAAATAAGTATAACATATAAATAAATAGATAGGTAAATATATCAGATAAATAAATAGATAGGTAAATATATCAGATAAATAAATAGATAGGTAAATATATCAGATAAATAAATAGATAGGTAAATATATCAGATAAATAAATAGATAGGTAAATATATCAGATAAATAAATAAACGGTATACATTTGATGCATGTTCTAGGCATTAAAGGACGAAAAGTTCCCAGATAATGCATAAATTCCCGTCTCTTTCTGCCGTCATAATCAGTGTAGGAAGACTGAAGATTACGGATACATTAATTATACCTCCATGAATTTACATACAGACGTAAAAACAAAATAAAAAGGCCACTCTTGTGGTCATTTGCAGAGAGGTCGTGGGAGAGTAGAAAGCCCGTTAATATCTAGATTTGAAATGTGATCTAACAGCACTGATGTATTGGAGAGAAAAAACAACGGCAATATCATTCATGTTTTAAAGAAATATAATGTGGCCTTGATAAGCCATGTGATACCATATATGTAACTATTTATTCACATGATACTGCACTTTTTCTAAACTGTCAGGTGTTCCTTAATGACATACAGGTATGTCGTAACACAGATCTGCCTATCTACATTAACTACAATTGTCGTCTTTCATGTCGCCAACGATTAGTTGTCGCAGAGTGCTTGGCGGGGGAGTTTTGCAGGTGAGCCTAGCGATTTTCTGGAGCCCAGTCATACAAAAAACATCCCAAAATAACAAGGATTTCTTTAATGCATACGCATTTATTTGTGTATATTTACATACATTTCACAGTCAGTTCAAATTTAAGCACTTTCATATTTCAGTTCTGACGTTTAATGTTTAAGTATTAAACGTATCTCAAACTGAAAGCATATAGAAACGAGAATTTAAGCTGACGATGACAAAACGTTGGTGTTTTTTTCATGTAAAGGTCCTATGTGAATGAGACATGGACGATCTTCGAGCATAAAATTACATGAGCACACAGTAGTCATTGTATGCAAATCCTTGCGGTGGGACGGGGTTTAATTAATGTTTTGGTTGAATATAGCACGAAGGGCTTTAGAGCTTCTATGTGTATTGTAAATGTCACATTTTGTTGAAGTTTGTAATATTTCCTCAAATAATTCTAAGCTGAATGACATTTTATCAAACGAGCCATTATGAAAGGAACGCTGTGACTGTAGAAGTGTTGCGAGAGCTGCCGGTCTGTGGTGTGGGTCAGAAAGGCAGCACAACATATGAATATGACACCATGACGCATTAATAATCAATAGAATTTCAAGATGTATCAAAAATAAAAAAACGATCCCAATGCAGTTCAGATAACGTTAAAGTATTTGAGAGTAAGCATATTTGTGAAATTTGACTCGTTATCTCACAAGCAATCAAGTAACTGGCTAGCTATTGGCCAATGGAGAGTGAGTGGCTTTTGACTCAAGTCACCAGCTAGAAAATCACTCGAGTCATTCCGTCATTCTACCGAAAACTTAAAATGACGGAAATCCCCGAGTGGGCCGATCGGCTGTGTTTACAACGATGTTAATCATATTATTGATTTCACAGTTGTTGTTTCAGACACAATTTGCTTCAGAACCTCATCACAACGGTAAATGTCGTAATAACAGAGTTTACATTATCACCACCCGACTTATCTCTTACCAATACAATAAATCCCGTTAAATATTGACAATGCCTTGACTGTTTCCTAAAGGTTTCGTCGAAAACAACGTGAAGTAGGATACAGGACAAAAAGTGACAATCCTCTTAAAGTGTCACTGACTAAACTTTGTCACTGCAGACAAAAGTAGTCGATAACGTGACAGTTTGGTCGTTACGTATGTCATAATCCTTGAACATAAACCTATCTACATAGTCTGTAGTGTATATCACATGTTATCGACCAAGTGGCATAATCCTGACCATTTGACATTTTGACCGGCTCTTCGTTGATTACACAACGATAAAGGAAATTTACGGTAGCCAGATCATCCGAGTGGAGCCTATTGACAAATTGACTTATAAATGACCCTCACAAAGTCGCTGATCATCCGGTGTTGTAATCCGTGCACAAGTCAGACTATAATGCTTTGACAGGTGTACAGACGAGAACTTTCCACGTGACACTTGTTAAAGAAAGTACAAAACATGTGTAATATTCTAGACAGATCTGAAGAGGATTACAGACTATTGTATATAGTCAAAAAGTCGGGTAACATATATATCAATTTGGATCATTGCCCATATAGGTCTCTCGATAGAGTGGACACACAATAGGTCGTAACTCGACAACACCGTAACCAATGGAAACCAGTCTAACTCTGTAAAGAATTTTAACACCGAGGTCGATATGTAGTATATAGGGAAATGAAACACTTACACTATCACTTAAAAACCATCATTTTTCCATTTTGAAGATTTGATTTACTTTATCAAAACTGTTTCGCTGATTCGAATATTTGCGGTTTTACTAAAAGGTTGGAGCAAAAACGATGTTTTTTTCAGAAATATCATGAAATCGAATGGTTTTCTTTGGCAATTTAATTTCGAATACATGTTTTTGTTATTGTATTTCTATGCTAAGTTATGAATTTTTGAAGTACGTGCAAGATAAAGTTGAGTGTGATGTCATAAATGTCCAGTATTTATTACGATAACACCGACAGAAAGCTTTTTATTTGATTGACGATACGGTGTCAACTACGGATACTATATTCGGCTTCGCGATTTTGGGATGTTTTAAATTCTAATGTCTCACTGACCTAAAAACAGGATAGTGGCGACATCAAAACAAAACTTTCTATGTTCACAAAAAAACCCTACATCTTAAAGTGTGAATAAAAAGCTTTCATCGTGTGATTATATTACTACTTTGTAATATGTAATGACAGATCCATGTATTGATGACGTAGTCTTCATGAAATGGTGACGTAGTGTTCATAATTGCGCTGACGCAGTAATCATGAAGCGATGACACATTCGTGAAGTGCTATCCTAACCAGATTATGTACAGCTATGGGTAAGTTTTTTTCCGGGAGGGCGTACCGCCTATAGGCCTAATTTGTTTTGACATGTTAATTTTCGCTGAAGAAGACTGTCGCTTTTAATTTGGACCTTTCTATAGCAGACACTAAGCTTGTGGTTGAGTGAAAGGCCTAACGGTTCCAAGTTGTCGTGAATATAAAACAGAACTTTATCGATTCTTGAAGAAAAATCAAAACCTATTCCAGTAGACTTGCATTCACCAACCTAACGTGAATTTATATATACGGTGCTATTATAGCGAATTTCTGACAAGTGAATTATAGTAACATTTATCTCTCGCGTTACACACACACACTTTCTTTGGGTTTGACATTGATAATACCACATCACGGGATGATGTCAAATCATTGAACGGCAGCCCATAAAAGCATTACCAAATTGTCTTCCAAAAAAACCACTACCCTCCTTCATGTCAATGTTATATGGACGCAAAACTCTCACTCTAAGTTTCTAATCGTTGGCATAGAAACGGCACGAACACATTTCCATATACTGGCAACAGGAAAATCGCGTTTTGATGGAACTTACATGCCTTTTGTTATATCACAAATTGTAATAAAATATTCGCTAAAATGTTTCTGTTAATTCTAAAATTAGAAATGAAAACGTTATCAAATTTTATAATTCTGTTGTCGTGTGTAGTTTCAAATAAAATTCATACCAGAAAATCAAATAGTCTTGTTTTACCTATTTGCATAATTAGGTTATATGACAGGCGAACTCCGAAAATTCCTTGGTAAAAGTTCCCAAGGAAATGCTTTCAAAATAAATTACAATTAAACTATATGGAAAGCGCGATGTTCAAATTTACATTATCAAATTTTGCACTCTAGACGTCATGCTTAGAATTTTAATATTTGGGAAACACCAAATACGCACATCTTCCCTGAATTTTGACATTAGAATTTCATTTTCTAAATCATGGACCAGTCAACTATGCAAGACAGGGATGACAGGTATTTCAGGAAAGAAATCGCATATTTATATTTCCGACGTGCTGTCCCCTGGGATCGTGCATGGTATAACCTGGGAATTGATTCCGCGGCTCGCCAACGTGAAATAGCATCATTCCAGAAGATATAATTCCGAGCTAATACCATTTTTCTCGATCACTCCGCTAGGATCATATGGAGTTGGTTTAATCTCGTTTTAGTTTCATATCCGAATAAAACAAATTTGGCAGCATTTTTTTTTATTTTATTTTCATTTTTTTTCAATTTGGAGTCAATTTGTTATTTTCGATCATGTATTTCGTGATCTGCATTGCGACAAAGTTGTATAGGGGAGACATGTACTTGAATTAGCCGTGTCTACAATCGTCAGTCTGTCCCGGAGCCGAGGCGTGTTCGTAAATTTAGCGTTGCACCGACGGGAATCTGTCGCTGTTGAACCAGCTCCGTGTAATTATATCATAGTTTTGATATATGTTATCATACTTTGATCCCTTAAGCAATAGCTCTACTTCGTTAGGGAAATATAACATTTCAGTTCAATGCAATATTATCTTGGATTCAATTTATTTTCTCTCTGTCGCGGGTATGGATACACACGTGAAATGTCCCGCATTCGAAGCTCTGTGCCGACAGAAATTGAACACTAGAACAACTTAAAATACTCCGATCCAATATTTTCAAATCCAAGCACAACAAGATGCAAATCGTTTCCTAAATAATGGGAAACCCCTTAGTGCTTTGTTCTCATTTGAAAATGTGACATTAGTTACCTGGATCGACATTTAACAAGGCGGGTATCGTCGAAGAAGCATCAGACGCTTACTCTTCCGGAACATCTGATCTTATTATCCTTGTACTTTTTTCCCCCACGAGTCTCCGTGTAAAT